CCGCGGTGGCCGGGAGCGGCCACTGCTCTCCGGTCTGGGCGACAGAGTGAGACTCCAACTCAAAAAACAAAACAAAACAAAAACAAAAAAAAACAATGTAATCAAGTACCTCACAAACTGACTTTTCAGATATTCGAAAGCTTCCGTAATATGAGGTCTATAAAGCAACCTTACTATTTTTAAGCAAATATATTCGAATACTGTTTTCTCTTTCTAAGTCACCTGAGTTGGCAACTCCATCACTGTCTAATACATTTTTAAAACTTTTCATTAGTAATTATCATAAGAGCCTGGTAAGGTTTGTCTTAGGCATGCTCAATGATAGCAAGTGTTATTCAATTATATGTGGCTCTTACTTCAAAATACAAATTTCAGAACACTGGTGCTCAGTTCACAAGGATGTCTGACATAAGATCAATATACAAAGCCGGCCTCGGTGGCTCAGCCTGTAATCCCGCGCCTTTGGGAGGCTGAGGTGAGTGGATTGCCTGAGCCCACGGGTTTGAGACCCGCCTGGGCAACTTGGCAAGACCTCATCTCTACAATAAATAAAAAATAAGCCAGGCGTGGTAGCGCACGCCTGTAGTTCCGGCTACTTGGAAGTCTGAGGCAGAAGGATCGCCGGAGCCCAGCAGGTCAAGGCTGTGGTGGCTGGGAGTGGCCACTGCACTCCAGTCTGGGGGACAGAGTGAGACTCCAACTCAAAAAAAAAAAGATCAATATAAAAAATCAACCAGTGGTATTCTTGGGTACCAGCAATAATCAATTAAAAAATGTAACAGAGAAAATATCCCATTCACAGTAGTAAGAAAAAAGTATAAGGTATCTAGGAATAAATGAATGAAAACACAATAATCAAGTTATTAAAACTTAGTATCGCAAAAATGGCAATTTCTCCCAGATTCATTTATAAATTAAAAATAATTTCAATCAAATCCTGACAGTGTTTTTCACAAAAAAAATGTATTCTAAACTCCATATAGAAAAGTGAAGTACCAAAAATAGCTAAAATAATGTTGAAGAAGAATAAGGTAGGGGAAATGTAGAATTGATATATGGTTAAACAAATGAGAGCCTAAAAATGAAAACTACATGACAGAGGTTGCACTACAATTCAGATATTTGATAAATGATGCAAAAAGCACATGACATATCCATATAGAAAAATAAAATTATGTATCTTACAAGAATGGCAAAAATAAATTTCAAGGGATTCGAGATATGAATCAAAAAAGCAAATTGTAGAAACTGCTAGAAAAAAGTACATCAGACCATTTTTACAGCTTTAGAGGAAGGGAAACATATCTTAAAACATGAAAGACAAAGCCCAAATAAAGCAAAAAGATAAACTCCAGAGCAGAAGATATCTGTAATGCAAATGACTGACAAAGAATTAAAACCAAGAATATTTAAACAACAGTAAAAAGCAAATAACCTAACAGAGCGATGGACAAAGGTAACAAATAGGCAAATCACAGAAGGACAATAAACACATGAAAACACATTCAGGCCACTGTCTTGCTAGGCTCTGGTGTGGCCATGTGCTCTTTGAGCTATGGCTGTCACCATGCCTCCTGGTTTTGGCCCCCTCCCTCAACTTGAGGAGGTGAGTCCTCTCTCTCTCTTTTCTTTCTCACTCTGATTTATTTTTAAATAAACTATATTTTTAAATCTAAAAAAAAAAGAAAAGAAAATACATTCAACCTTACTATTAATAAGGAAAATGTAAATTACTACAGATTTGAGATACTATTTAAAAGGCTGGTATAATCTTAAAAGCCTGAGAGCACCAGATGAGGAGAAAGGGGAAACTCATAGTCTAGTGAGTATAAATTAAAATAACCACTTTAGTTGAAGATGTTTATATTCTACAATGCAACAATTCCACTTTTTGGTATACAAGCCATAGAAACTCTTGTTCATGTGCAAGGTATAAAGGTATTACAAGAATGTTCATTGCAGAATAGTTTTAATAACAAAAAAAATGGAAACCATATGTCAATCAACAGAAAAGTGAATAAATTATAGTATATTTATACAACAGCATACTCTAACTGCAGTTGAAATGAACAAATTAGCAATATACATAACATGTATATTTTCAAAAACAAACCTGAGTAAAAAAAGCAAACTACAGAACAATCTCACTTATGTGCATTTCTAAAACTTGCAAAACAGCGAGTTTTATGGATACATAAATATTCAGCAACAGTGTAAAAATATTCAGGAGAATGATACCACTTTATGAGAAGGGTTCCTCTGGGAAGGGAAATGGAATGGGAATATGGAAAGCAACAGAGGAAGCATCATCTTTTTTTTTTTTTTAATGTCCTGATCTCTGTGAACCTATGTATCTCTAATATCAGATACATAAATGAGTACACAAACAGATACAGATATATATGACATAATGTCAAGATCTCAAGGTAGCTGGGTTGTGAGTACATGGGTTTTATTATTTTCTATACTTCTATATGTTTGAAATATCTTATAATATTAAAGTATTTAAATATTTTATAATATAGGTTTCAGAATGTGTTCAGGAAGCACATTTTAAAAAGTGAACTATAGTTACAGTATGCTAAGTTACCAAAAAATCAATCGAAGACACATACAGTATGAGATCAATTATATACTATGTAAAACAAACGTTTTTTATAGCTACATACACTATGGTAATTGTATAGACTTTCATGGGAATAACATACTCCAAACTCAGAATGATGGTATCACCCAGCGGGGAGTAAGAGGAACAGGACTAGGCAAGGGTACACAGGGAATCAGCTAAATCGATAAATAATTTCTTAAAAGTCTGAAACGAGTATTGCACTTACTACAGCTTGGTATTGGATGACTTAAAAAACCATATTTATATGTGTATTATATATGTAAACAACAGTAGCAAAAACAATAATAAAAGAAAAAGAGTAAGACTAGAGCTAACATTTGAGCAATTATTATGCAGTAGGCACACCTCCAAGTACTTGCATGCACAGCCCTAAAAACAACCCTAGGAGGTAGATTATATTACTATCCTCATTTTACAGATGAAGAACTGAAGCAGAGAGAGGTGAAGTTGATCTGGGGTTATACAGTTAGTAAATAATGAAAGTAAGATATGAAGCTAGAATTCCTACTCTAGCTTACAGTTTAACAAATGTTATTGTATCATTTTCTGTATGTTAGAGATACTGCATAAAAAATACCTTTAACCTATGACTACAAAGAAATGCATACACACACATACATTTCTGCATTAACTCAAACTGGTTCTAAAGATGTTAAAAGAATTCTAAGTATGTCCTGTTAATAGCAGCATCCCAATTGCTCTAATAATTTACATGTTTGAGGTTTGATATTTTTTAAGATCATTATTTCATAGTCAAACAATTTCAACAGTCCTAACATAACACACATTTGGAATCCTAGATAACTTATATGTAAGTAAATGATATAATTCTACCATTTCTCTCTCATTAGAGACAAAATTGTATTACTTAAGCCTCAGGTCTGAAAACTTATGTTAAGAGTTTTTAGTAACAAATTCTGGCAAGAAATTTAATATAATTTCAATTATTCATCTTTTTCTAGTCTCTAAATTATGAGGGTTTTTGCTGTTGCTGTTGTAGAGACTACCCATACTAGTCTAGAACTTTTGGCCTCAGGCAATCCTCCCTCCTGGGCCTCCCAAAGCCCTGAGGTTAGATACAGGTATGAGCTATCATGCCTGGCCTGAGTTAGCTTATTTTTTAAAAGTCAGTAGCTAATATTTACCCAATGATAAAAATATCATTTGTATAGGACCATTTATATCACAAGGTAAAAAGGAAACTGGCATTCTCAGTGACTGAATATTTATGAACATTTACTATGTGCTAACCCTATACTCTTTGTCCCAGTTACATTGTTACTATTTCTTAAAAATATTTTCTTAGTCTATACACCCACATTCTCATTCCTGCTTTCTATTAGCTTACAGAATATGTATTCAAAAAATTAAAAAGTTCTTGCTTTCAAAGAGTTTATTGTCTAGTAGAGCAAAGAGATTAGCAAACAAAAGTTATTTATGATAAGCAAGTACATTAATAAAGGTATTTAAAAGGTATTGGAGTAACACAAGGGCTGGGGAAGATGGAAAGGTAGCTGTTACACTTTGAAAATAGAAAATCTTGAACATGAAGAACAGGAAACCCCAAGTTACCAGTATTCTTTCAAGTAACTTGTTTTAAAAGGAAGAAAAGAGAGTAATAAACAGCTAGGAGAAGGAGTTAAGACGGGAGAGGTACATACTTAGCATCAACTCCTCTGAACTGTTTTCCTTGACAAGATTCCATATCTAAGACTAAATCCCAGCTGGTCATTTTCTAAGCATGAGCAAGTCACAACATTTCAAAGCTTCAAATGAGATACTAGATGTTTAAGAACTCTTAATTATAGAGGGAATCTGAATAAATCATCTCAAGTTCTTTCTAGACCTAAAGTGCAATGATTCTAAGACTCTCAGAGGCACTGAACTTTTTAAACTCAAAGATAAAACACAAAGTATTCAGAATGCAAAGAAGAAAAACTAAGACCATTGGAGTTTGTATAGCTGCATTATATTATTTTTGCAAAACTGCTAAAAACAATTAATTCCTAATCTGAACATCAGTAAAATTCCCATAAAAAGACAGCACCTTAATTAGAGTTGATAAAGTACATCTCTCAACACAAACCTCCAGACTTCTAAAAAATAAACAAGGAAATACTTTGTGATAATAGAAGTAAACTGCTTAAAAGCCTATAGCTTAGGCTTGTAGTCATCTTTTAGAATGAAGATGTCTATACCGATACATGTATTACATTTTTACAACAATATATTTGTTAATTATCTTCCCTTTAAAATTTTAACATAACAGTCGAAGGTTCATGAAATTAAAAACAACAGCTAATATGGGCTCTTTATAGTAATATGCCTTCTTTTACCACACATTCTGAAATTTATAAAAGGTTTTCCTTACCTGATATGGACATGGAATGTGGTATTCTCTGCAGCGTTCTTGTATCCATGTTGTTTCCCAGATGCCACGGTACGCTTGTTCATAAAAGTAGCATCCAATAACAACCAAGAGTGGTACGAGATAAAGAATACTGAAAACACCAATCCGGATCATAAACTTCACTAATTTATCTTGGTTTTCCTTTTCTAATGGAATCTCAATTCGAACTCTGTTTAGGGAAATAATGCCAGCTAAGAGGAGAGAAACCCCAACTACCACATACAGGCAGAGGGGAGCAAGAACAAAATATCTCAATGCATCAACATCGTAGAGGCCAACAAAACACACGCCACTAATATTGTCACCTTCAATTTTATTCATCGCTAAAAGGATGATGGTTAGAGTTCCGGGGATGCCCCATGCACTGGCGTGAAATAGCAATGCTTTCTTCTCAATAGCTTCACTACCCCACTTTGGTACAGCTGCTAAGAACCACGTGATGGTAAGAATTACCCACCATACACTGCCAGCCATAGTAAAAAAATAGAGTACCATAAAAAGCATGGTACAGGCTTTATTATGAGATCCTTGTGTCACTGTGGAAGCCTTATACTGTGCAGGGCTAGATGCATTGCAGGCTACTCGATCCTCAAGCAAAAATCCAATGAAGAAAATTAGTGATACCATCATGTAGCAGACTGCATAAAATATAATAGGCCTCTCAGGATAACGGAATCTTGTGACATCAATCAAAAAAGTTAAAAAAGTAAACAGTGTGGCAGAGAGGCAAATGATTGAAATCAATCCTATGAAATAGCGAGCAAATGACAGTTCTTCTCTCCTAAAGTACATATTTGGACAAGGAGGTGAACAATCCCGCACGTGCAAAAAAGAATAACCAAGATCAGGATCAATTTTCAATTCTCGGGGACACCAAAAACCATAGTCCCTCTGCACTGCTGCCGGGGCTCCTTCAGTTGGATCTCCAACTAAATTCAGATCCACAAGTCGAGGATATGGCTCATCACAATCTGGGAACCTTAAAAAAAAAAAAAAACACAAAATGAGAACGCTTTTTATGTACGGGAAAATTCACTGCCACCTAAGAACTTGAATTTCCAAATTTAGCGCTTGTGAATATTTATGTCCTTGGAGGGCAACTGCAATATGTAGGATATGCTGATATCCTCTTTGTGGTCCATACAACTAGATTTTCCATAATTGACCCCAAAAAGTATGATTTTATACATAATTTTGTTTTGCCTTCAAAAACAATACTCTTAATTAAAACAATCAAGCATAGCCATCAATTAATAACAGTATGTATAGAATACCTATTTAGGATACATAGGTTTAGAATAAGACTTCAAAATATAAAAATATATAGGTACAACTATATAGCTCCAACAGAACAGTAACTAAAAATTACTTTTTGCTAACATTTGACTACAGTATAGCCCTGAATTTAATCCAGACTAAAACAGAACTTAAGTGTAAGAGTTAAGAATCTTTCCACACTGGGCACAATAGCTCACACCTGTAATCCCAGCACTTAGGGGAGCCAAGGTGAGAGGATTGCCTGAGTCCAGGGGTTTGAGATCAGCCTGGACAACTTGGCGAGACCTCATCTCTAAAATAAATAAATCAAAAAGTTAGCTGAGCAGAGCTCGGTGGCTCAGCCTGTAATCCCGCGCTTTGGGAGGCTGAGGTGAGTGGATTGCCTGAGCCCGTGGGTCGAACTCGTCTGGGCAACTGGGCGAGACCTCATCTCTACAATAAATCAAAAATTAGCGGGCATGGTAGCGCACACCTGTAGTTCCAGCTACTTGGAAGGCTGAGGCAGAAGGATCGCTGGAGCCCCGCAGGTCAAGGCTGCGGTGGCCAGGAGTGTGCCACTGCACTCCAGTCTGGGTGACAGAGTAAGACTCCACCTCAAAAAAAACAAGTTAGCTGGACGTGGTGGCACATGCCTGTGGTTCCAGCTACTTAGAAGGGCAAGGCAGATGGACTGCCTGAGCCCAGCAGGTTGAGACTGCGGCAGTGGTGAGCGTGCCACTGCACTCCAGCCTGGATGACAGGATGAGACTCTGACTCAAAAAAAAAAAAAAAAAAAGAATCTTTCTTACATTTATGCTCCAATGTGCTGTGAGTTAGCAATTACCATTAAAAATCCTTACAAGTGGCTCATTTTTGGATCTTCTCTTTCTACTTTACATTCACTCTCTGCTTATGCATTCAGTTAATTGAAGGGCTTCTAAGGTCTCTTAGATGTCAGCTAGTTTTTTCCTAATATCCTTTATTTCTCGCCCATCCACTGCATTCTCTAATTCAGTTATTCTCAAACTTTGATGTATGTAAGAAAAAACTTAAGGTTTTTCTAAAAATGAAAATTCTTAGTCGTACCACCACCAATCATATATACTCTATTACATTTGTGGTTAGGGCCCAGAAATCTGTATTTTAACAAGTTCCCAACATGATCCAGACTTGAGAAAGTGTAATAGCCTCAGGATGAAGCAATCAAGGTTGTGTTGCAGACATACTTATACAACTAAAGACACGATTCTCATGAATTCTCTTTATCTTTAATTTTCCTGCCAATATCAGTTTCTAAAACTTCAGACTACCACTACCTAGCCGCTTACTGTTTTATATGCATCAAGTAGTTCCCGAGAAACTATCATTGATATTAAGTTCATCAAATACATTCATAATTTTCTGCTGTATGTAGCTTATTGATATTTTCAAATTTTTTTATTTTTTAATATAAATAATTTTTACAATTTTCTTCAAATGGCTTGGAATTATAAAGTCAAATGACAGAAACTCCTTGTATTCAAGTATTTATTGGAACCCTGTAATATGCCAGGAGTTAAAGGTAAAAAGACAAAAAACAAAACAAAGTAGGATTTCTATCCTTGGGTCCAGGAGACACAAACTTGTAAATACAACATACATAAAAATACAGCAGTGTGATACATAAAGCAATCAAAATCTATACAAGGCCTAAAAATAATAAAGATTAATTATAATGGGAAAGAGTTATGAAAGACTTCAAAGAGTGAGTCCCTAATACAGGATTTTACATTAGTATTTGGCAGTATTCTCAGTATGCCAATCGGAATTCCAGCAAGCAAGCGCAAGCACAGGCATAGATGTTTGAATAGGGTGTTTAGTATCATTGGACCATAAAGTGTGCATGACTTGTGACAAGAGGTGAGACTGACGAGGTAAACATGTTGCAGAAATGTGTGTGTGTGTATAAACATTGGTATACAATTTAAAACCATGCAAATTAACACTAAATATTTTCTATGGATATATTTGTATACCTAACTGCCAATTCAACATATACACTTGGATATTTAACAGGCACCTCAATCTCTAATCCTTCTGAAAACAAACTCTTAGACTTCTATGTCAGGTTTTCCCATTACCATAAGTGGCGATTTTATACTTCCAGTTGCTCAGGCCAAAAACTTTGGGGTCATCCTTGAGGTCCCTTATCTGCCATATATACCTAACGATCTACCAGCATTTCCCGTCATTCTACTTTGTGGCATATCAAGAATCTGACCCTTTTCCTTTTCGCCACTGCTGCTGCTTCCCCTGAGCATCAGTACCTCCTCCCTAACTTGTTTAGGGCCTCCCAGTGATCTCCATTTCTACACAGCAGCCAGAGTGATCCTTTAAAGACATGCCACTCATTCTTGTGTTCAGAATCACGTCTCTTCTGCTCAAAACCTTCTAATGGCTTCTCATCTCACATAAAGTCAAATCCAAATTTCCTACCAGAGCTGCATAGTCTCCCAGGCCCAGGTCTTTTCTGATCTTATTTCTTTCCATTCTCCCACACTTATTTGGCTCCAGCCTTTCGGTCTCCTGCTGTTCTTTGAATTTATCAAGTATGCTTCCACTTCAGAGACTCTGTACTTGTTGCTCTGTTTCCCCTACCTAGAGTGCTCTGCCCCAGATATCTGTAATAATTGTTGCTCACTTTATTCAGGTCACTGGTCCAAAGCCTCCTTATCGAAAAGGCTTGATTCCCCAATGACTTTGTAGAAAACAGAGTCCCTCTGCTCTCCTATATTGTATCACTATCACCTACTATATTCTTTCTTATTAGCATTCATTTACATCTGACATTATTCATTTGCTATCTCCCACCACATGCCACCACCACTAGAATCTGAGCTCCATGTGAATATGGGCTTTGTTTTGCTCGCTGCTCATCTTTGGCATCTAAAACAGTGCCTGGCAAACCAAAGGCATTCAACTAGTATTTGTTGAACTAATGAATGTTGACTGAATATACTCATTAACCTAACCAGAAAGAAACTAGGAGCAGTGTGGAAGACAGACTGGGAAAAATTGGGGCAGAGATATCATTTGGGCCAGAATACAGATATAACAGATTATCCAGGGAAAGATGTAGAATCAAACAGAACATGTAATGAACTCTGGGAAGTACCATTACTGAAGCTGCAGGAAGAGGATCGAAGAAGAAAATTGAGAAGGATTGGCCTGAGATATAACAGATTACAAGTCAGATAAAGCAGCGAGGACAAGATAGATATGACATTAGTTAAATGAAAGCAACATAATTTATAACTGATTAAATGTGGGGACTGAGATCAAGGAAGGAGGAATAGAAAATGTCTTCCAGGCAGCCAGGCTCGGTGGCTCAGCCTGTAATCCCACCCCTTGGGAGGCTGAGGTGAATGATGGCCTCAGCCCAGGGGTTCAAGACCCGCCTGGGCAACTTGGTGAGACCTCATCTCTACAATACATCAAAAAATTAGCTGGGCATGGTAGCGCGCGTCTGTAGTTCCAGCTACTTGGAAGGCTGAGGCGGAAGGATCGCCGGAGCCCAGCAGGTGGAGGCTGCGGTGGCCAGGAGCGGCCACTGCACTCCAGTCTGGGCAACAGAGTGAGACTCCAACTCAAAAAAAAAAGAAAAAGAAAATGTCTTCCAGGAAATAAAAAAAGTAAGCAAAGGAATAAAATCAATTTTAGATATGTTGAAATTAAGGAAGTTGAGACATATTCAGGCTAGTTATCCAATGGCAGCTAGATTATGCAGGTTTGGAGTTTAGCAGGGAGATCAAGGCTACAGATTTAGGTTTAGGAATCATCAGGATGCCGGGTTCGGTGGCCCAGCCTGTAATCCCATGCTTTGGGAGGCCGAGGTGAGTGAATTGCCTGAGCCCGCAGGTTCGAGACCCGCCTGGGCAACTTGGTGAGACCTCATCTCACAATAAATCAAAAAAATTAGCCGGGCATGGTAGTGCGCGCCTGTAGTTCCAGTTACTTGGAAGGCTGAAGTGGCAGGATCTCCGGAGCCCAGCAGGTTGAGGCTGTGGTAGCCGGGAGCGGCCACTGCACTCCAGTCTGGGCGACTGAGTGAGACTCCAATTCAAAAAAAAAAAGGAATCATCAAGATAAAAAGAAGAATTAAAAGCAGTGAGATGAGATTATCCAGGGAAAGATGTAGAATCAAACAGAACATGTAATGAACTCTGGGAAGTACCATTACTGAAGCTGTAGGAAGAGGATCGAAGAAGAAAATTGAGGAGGATTGGCCTGAGATATAACAGATTACAACAGTTCTTACATGATGGTATAAATGACTTTTAGGAAAGAAGGACAATCTGAAATGGAGGGAAATAAAACTGAGATATGGGTTTAAAGTGGGTGATACAGATTTGGCACACATGCTGAGGGGAATGAAATTTTCCTGACCAAGACAAGTAGTTACAATTGGAAATAAAATTGCTATGGTTTGAGAATCATTAACTATACTGTGTAATTAATTAGTAAGAAATGTGTTAATCAGTCGATTTGGAGAAATGAACAAGTACAATGGAAGGAATGAGCTGATATTGCTAACAGAAGTGTTATTCCAAGTGACAGATCACAAAGTTTAAGCTAAATAAGAAAATAATTGAGATGGGGAGGGGGGCATTTAGGATTTTTAAAAAAAGATCAGAAGGGGATGTCCATGAAATTGAAGAACAGGTGCTATAACAGAATATCTGAGATTGGGTAATTTATTTTAAAAACAGATTTATTTCTTACAGTTCTACAGGCTGGAAATACCAAGGCTGAGGGGTATGTATCTGGCAAGAGCCTTCTTGCTGCATTATCCCATGGCAGAAGGGCAGGAGGGTATGGGGAAGCAGTGAACGGGAACAAACACATCCTTTTATTAGAAATCCACTTCCACAATAACTCACTCACTGCAGAGATAACAACATTAATCTACTGCCTGCATAATCTAATCACCTCCTAGAGGAATTATCTCTCAACAACGTTGCACTGAAGATTAACTTTCCAACACATAAACTTTGGGGGACACATTCAGTCCCCCATAATTCATGTGTTGAAATTTAATCCTAGCTGGGCACAGTGGCTCATTTCTGTAATCCCAGCACTTTGGGAGGCAGAGGAGAGAAGACTGCCTAAACTCACGGGTTTGACACCAGTCTGGGCAACTTGTCAAGATCTTGTTTCTATAATAAATCAAAAAATCAGCTGGGTGTGGCAGCGTGTGCCTGTAGTCCGTTACTTGGAAGGTTGAAGCGGAAGGATTGCCTGAGCCCAGCAGGTCGAGTGTGCCACTGCACTCCAGCCTGGGTGACAGCGTGAGACTCCACCTCAAAAAAAGAAAGAAAAGGAAATTTAATCCTCATTGTGGTGGTATTAAGAAGTGGGGTCTTTTGGGAATTAATTAAGTCATGAGGGCTCATGACTTCACGAATGGATTAATGGCCTTATCAAAGGGCTTCAGAGAGTTTGCCCCTCTTGCTCTTCTGTCACATGAGGACACAGCATTCCTCTCATCTGGAAAATGCAGCAACGAGGCACCATCTTGAAAGCAGACAGCAGCCCTCACCTGCTGGCACCTTGATCTTGGAGTCCCCAGCTTCCAAAATTGTGAGAAACACATTTCTACTGTTTACAAATTACCCAGTCTGTGGGATTTTGTTATATACCCAGTCTGTGGGAAGCACAATGAACTAAGACAATGGGTACAGTAGGAACAAGGGTATGAGAGATGTAGAAGAATGACAGGTTGCCATGGAAAATCACTGCCAGAACCTAAGACTTCAAAATTAAGCAATCCCAGTGTATAAGTAGGACATAAAACAGATTTAATCGTATCAAAACAAATAAAGATTATAATGAGATTTCTAATCTTAGAATAAGCCATTACAATAAAAAGACCCTTAAACAATGGGAGTTAGATATAAGAAGCACAAGATAGGGTTTCTGCCCAGGCAACTCATAACTGTTGTTTTACAACAACTTATAGACTTCTAAAAGAGGGATTTATGATAAGCACTCTTAGGTGCCTGGAGAGATAATAAATGAATAGTTAGATAGGCCTAGATAAGAGGTCACAGAGGTGAGAAATAGATACTCAAATATGAGAAAGCAAAATGTCAATAAATTGACTTCAAAAAGGTAACACAGTAGGCTTCATTTAACATTGTTAGTAAGTTCTTATATACTGCAACTTCAATGAAAGGACATACAGCAGGTCCTCAAATAACATAGTTTTGTTCAATGTCATTTTGTTATGTTGATGAGAAAAAAAATTGGCTTCCTTACAAATCACTTCACTTAAAGTCACAGTTCCCAAGAATCTGCCAACAATGTTAAATAAGGACTTACTGTGTCTGCTTTATTTCTTAAGTTCTTCCATCTGTCAAATGAGAGTAGCATTTTATTTTATTTTATTTTTTTATTTTTTATTTTTTTGAGTTGGAGTCTCACTCGGTCGCCCGGACTGGAGTGCAGTGGCCGCTTCCGGCCACCGCAGCCTCGCCTGCTGGGCTCCAGCGATCCTTCCACCTCAGCCTTCTGAGTAGCCAGAATTACAGGCATGCGCTACCACGCCCGGCTGATTTTTTGATTTATACTAGAGATGAGGTCTTGCTGCCCAGGCGGGTCTCAAACCCGCGGGCTCAGGCAATCCACTCACCTCAGCCTCCCAAAGGCGGGGGATTACAGGCTGAGCCACTGAGCCTGGCTTTGCATTTTATTATTCTTTATTCTTGAACTATTTTAAAATATTAAAAGGTACAAATTATTATATAAAAATTTAGTATATTATTACTAATGATGTTCACTCATACAAAACTATAAGAATGTCTAATAAATCCTTAAGCCTTTAGGAAATTCTTATAGTCTATATACAAGGGAGGACTCAAAAACCCCAGAAATTTATTTATAAATATTGTGTATCTATTCGTACATGTTAAACTTCAGTCACCTCCAAAACACTGTTTGATGCGATACACCTATCAAGATGCTTTTTCCACTGCTCAAAACATTTTGAATTTTGGATGTCTTTTAGAGTTCCTTTTGGTTTCGCTACTTCCACAGTGGCAAAACATTTCCTCTTAAGGATTTTTTTTAACTGGAGGGAAAAAAAAAATTTCTTGGGGTGGGTCAAAAACTGCTGAACATTTAGCAAGGTGTGGGCAGGAACACTGTCATGGTAAAAAATCCAGTCACCTGTTTGCCACAAAAAAATTCAATGAAGCCAAACACAGCATCTCACAACACTTACCAATACACTGCTGCTGATGGGTTCCAAGAACACTTACCTAGCTGGAGAAGCCTGTACTATAAAGGACCAGCACTCCAAAAGATAATTCTGTGTTGTTGGGGGTCCCTCTCGTATTGAATATAATTTGAAAAGTATCTGACATTTTCTGGATTTGGTATGTTAATATATGAAAGAAAAATGAACTGATAGAACTACCCTAGTCTTCAACACATCTAAATCAGAAAAGTATTTAAGCCCCCACAATGATGAGATAATAATTATTTTTTACTATGTATTTGCATTTTGTAATAAATGACACTACTTTTATAACCAAAAAAAAAAATGTTTCAAAGAGAGAAAAATCAACTAAACATTTTTTTTCTTTTTTTTTTTTTGAGTTGGAGTCTTACTCTGTCACCCAGACTGGAGGGCAATGGCCACTCCCGGTCACCACAGCCTTGACCTGCTGGGCTCTGGCAATCCTTCCGCCTCCGCCTTCCGAGTAGCTGGAACTACAGGCGCGTGCTACCCCACCCGGCTAATTTTTGATTTATTGTAGAGATGAGGTCTTGCCAAGTTGCCCAGGTGGGTCTTGAACCCGTGGGCTCAGGCAATCCACTTGCCTCAGCCTCCCAAAGCGTGGGATTACCGGCTGAGCCACCGAGCCTGACTAACTAAATGTTTTAATATGGATTTCTTACTTTGTTTAAAAAATTTCTTCACAGATTTTTTTTTTATTGAGAGCTTCCAAATTCCTAAGAAAATTAACAATTCTGAGGTCACAAAATTGCTATCCAAAATTAGTAATTTATACATACACTTCAAAAACGTTTTTAAAAATAGATGAAATAGAAGACAAATAATTTCAAACACACTGCAAAATAAGAAATGATTCATGGAAATCTGGTTTCGCACCTACTGCACTCCATGTCTTCAGGCCAAGGAACATCAAACATTTCCATGAGTTTTGAACACTCGCTGTAAGCCCGCTGACACAGCCTCCGACAGGGAAGTGTGACACGTCCATATTCCATACAAATAGGAGCATAGAGGGCACAAAGAAATGGCCGGAAATCCCGAGAACAATCCAGATTCACCATAGGATGGAATGGCTAGGAAAAGTTAAAATTGAATAATTAGATAAAGAGCTGTATACATGTTAAAGCTTTCTATAATGTTCTTTTTTTTTTTACTTCAAAAATTATGAGGATTATTAAAAATTTCTGAAGGAGAATTTTTGTTTTAAGTAAAGCCCTCTTAGCTCTATACCAAAGATTCTGATTTGGTGACATGTGAAGAGTATCCCAGAATCTACATGTACAAGGAAGAACCCAAAAAAACCCAGCATTTATTTATAAAAAATTGTATATCTATTCTTACATGTTTAAACTGTAGTTACCTTCAAAGTACTCTGTTTGATGCAACACACCTATCAAGATGCTTTATCCACTGGTCAGAAGAGTTTTTAAGCTTGTCAATTTTGATGCCTTTTAGTGCTTCTGCTGTTTCTGTTTCACCTCTTCTACACTGGCAAAGCGTTTCCCTTTGAGGACTTTTTTTCATCCAGGGAAACCAAAAAGATAAGTTGCTCAGAGTAAGATCAGGTAAATAGGGAAAGTGGTGCACAGGAATCATGCCGTTTGTGGTCAAAAACTGCTAAACACTTAGTGCAGTGTGAGCAGATAGACTCGGAAACCGCCCATAAGGAAATGGGCAAACATGCTGAAAGAATCTCAAAAATAAAAAAAAATTCACCGAAGCTAAACGCCGTCTCTCACAACAACATTAGCTGGTATACTGATGCCAATGGGTTCCTAGAACACTTACCTAGTAGGGGAAGCCTGTACTACAAGGGACCCACCCTCCAAAAAGTAATTTAAAGTTTTTTGGGGTCCTCCACATATATTTCAGATGTTGCAGATGCTATAAATAAGAGGCCAGGGCTGAGAACTACTAATAATAATATGATCCATTTTACATAGACAAAAATCCACAAAAGACAGGCATTAAATGTTCAAAAATATGATTAGTAAGATTGCAAGAGGTTCTAGTTTCCTTCCTTTTATGCATTTCAATTTCTACAATTAACATTTATCAACAGGAGACAGGAAAAGACGTAAAAAAGAAGAAAAGAGAGACAGGGCGAGTAAAATAAGTAGTAATACACAGCTGTTATTTGGGTACTTAGGGATGGGTAAGGATTTCTCACCGTTGGCTCAAATTTTCTAGTTCTTCTTTTACATTTTAAAAACTTTAATAGAGTTCTCCAGACTCTGAAATCATATTACCTAAATAGAGTTAATAACACAAGCTAATATTAAGGAAATAAAAAGAAAAACAGTTCCAACATAAAACCGTGTCAAAATAATTACAGGAACAGATAAAATATCCCAATAAAAGTGCATTTGGGCTTTTCACTATTTTTTTTTATTTGCTTATATAACAGTTTGAGTCATTGCTGATTTTGAATCAGTTATAGACAGTCTCATCATCAAGCCTTTCTAATGTGTAAGAATCAACTTATTTCTACATTGATTTATAATTTTTCTACATTTATGTATAACTTTTAATTTATACATATTTTCATTAAGAATAGGCTTCCCATACATAATACAATCAGAAAATCAAGAGTCCTTAAAGAAATTCATGTCAAAGAAATTAACTATAAAATGGATATAGTAACTGATATATAACAAACTATATGTGACTACCATTTCCAAGTATGATGGAGTACTTTGTGGTAAAACAATGTTCCCAATGGGAATGATTTAAAAAGAGAAAGAAAAAATGTTTTAAGTTATCTATTTGAAGCTACTGGAGAACTGCTGTTGAAACAAAAGAACAAGAGACACCAAGAATCTGAATTCTCCAGAAGGGAAGCACAAACAGGTTGTTACTTTTCTAAGGAGGCATTTGTTGAACAGGGTGTAAGACAAGAGGCTTTAGAATCAAAGCTTTGCCCAGGCTGGTGCTAGAGAACTGGGAAACCAGCAATGTTTTAGATGGTCTTGAGAGACTACAGGGACAAAACTGGAAATATAAGAAACAAAATTGAGAAGGGGAAGTGAGAAGGCCTTCCCTTCAGGATATTTGAAAATTCCGAAGCTACACAGAAAAGGAGACTAAGAAACTAAGTAGAAAGCCTCTGAAAAGTAGAGTGCAGATTTTGGCAGTCTTATCAGGCTAAAAAAGACATGAATTAGAATTCGAGCCCTGCAGAGGAACTGAACACACCAGACAGACTTTTAGCTAGAAGTCCTCAGTGACTGACTACACCCTAGAGGCAGAGACAAATCAGAGGGAGAGAGAGAGAACCACCAACATTGCAACCCAATCGAAACTCAGCTCAACCACTGACTGAATTAAAGTGATCTGCCTCCAATTTATCTAAGCAGAAAAGAGGATAAACCTTTTCTGTAGTAATATAACATTATTTGAAATCTCACCAATAATTTTATAATGTCTAGTACCTCAAAAAAACTTACAGGGCATTCTAAGAGACAGGGCAAGATAACTAAAGAAAAAACAAGAAAAAAAAATCTGTTGTGATCCAGCTAACTGGAGTGAAAGACAGAATTCTATATAACTATAACTAATATCTTCAAGAAAATAAAAGATAAAAATTTTCTTCAGAAAAGTAGAATCTATTAAAAGAGGAATTAAATGGAAATTCTATAATTTAAATATACAATTACTAAAATTAAGGACTCATTAGATATATCTTAAGATAGGATTGGCAAAATAGAAAAGGCAATCGAAAATATTCAAACAGAAAGAAAGTTACAGACCAAAAAATAGTGAAAAAGATAGAAAAGAGCATAAGAGACATGTAAAACACATGAAAAGGTCTAACAAGTATAATTGCACTCTCAAAAGGGGAGATAAGTGAGAATTGGGCAGAGGTAATATATAAAAAGATGAGGGCTGAGGATTTTCCAACTGTTTAATTACCTGCCACGGATTTGAGAAGTTCTGCAAACCGCAAGGAGGGTAGATACAAGACAACCACAACTATATATATCTTATTTAAACTACCGAAAACAAAAGAAAAATATCTTTTTATTCACTCATTTATTTATTTATAAGAAAAATATGTTCTTTTTTTTTTTTTTTTTTTTGAGTTGGAGTCTCACTCCGTCGCCCAGACTGGAGTGCAGTGGCCGCTCCCGGCCACCGCAGCCTCGACCTGCCGGGCTCCGGCGATCCTTCCACCTCAGCCTTCCAAGTAGCTGGAACTACAGGCGCGCGCTCCCACGCCAGGCTGATTTTTGATTTATTGTAGAGATGAGGTCTTGCCAGGTTGCCCAGGTGGGTCACGAACCCGCAGGCTGAGGCAATCCTACTCACCTCAGCCTCCCAAGGCGCGGGATTACAGGCTGAGCCACCCAGCCCGGCATAAAAAATATATCTTAAAGACACATTACCTTCAAGGAAGCAACAATAAAATTCAGCACTGACTTCAGAAAACCAGATAACAATGGAATTAATTATTTGTAAAAAGCTGAGAGAAAATAACTGCCAAACCTGTAACTCTCTAGCCAGTAAAAATATTCTTTATAAAAGGGAAAGATACTTTTAGACAGACAAAAAACTTAAAAATTAGTCTTTAGCAAACCTACAATACAGGGAATGCTTGAAAGTCTTCAGACAGAAGGAAAATAATCTGAGATGAAAACTCAAAAGAAATTAAGAGCAACAAAAGGGGTGAATATGTGGAAATTAACACTCTGTGACAACAAAAATAATATCATAAAACACATACAAACTACATGCAAAATTTAAAAAGATGGAAAGTCAGAGGAGCACTAATGGAGTAGTTGAAGCAATGACTTCTATTAGAATATTATAAGTCAAAGGTACCTATTATAATTTTAGGGTAATAATAAAAGAATGCACAACTAACAGGATAATAGAGAAGCAAACAGACTAATATGAAAGAATGCAAGATAACAGAGAAAAAAGAATACAAAACAGTTTGGACAAATTAAAATCAAATAGTAAGATGGTAGATATAAATCCAAATAGATCACTAATTGCACTAAATGTAAATGAACTAAAAACTCTAAGTAAAAGACCAAAATTGTTGAATAGGTAAAAACAAAAATGGGAAAAAAATATTCTGCTTACACCAAAACCATGCTTTCAATATAAGAACACAGGTAGGTTAAAGTAAAAGAAATATAAATTATAAACAAGGCAAGACTAAAGAAAGAGTGAATTTATGGCAAGAGGGGTGACTTATATGTGTGTGAGAGTATATATGTTATATATATTATATATATATATATAGAATTAAACAGTAAAGATGATAAAACACCAACAAAAGCAGTCCTCAGAGGAAATATAAAACCTAACATACATATACTAGAAAATAAGACTGGAAAAAAAATTAATGATCTAAGCTCAAGAAACTAGAAGAATGTCCAAATTTAGAGAAAGTAGAAAAAAGGAAATAATAGAGGAAAAAACCCTACAAATTACCAATATTAGGAATGAAAAAGGAAATATCACTAGAAAAACATCAAGATACTATAAATAATAAAACTGATGTTAGGATGAAATGAACACATTTTCTGAAGGAAAACCATAATAACCACAATTTACCAAAACTCATAAAAGAAGAAATAGAAAATCTAGTCTTCTATCTATAAAGAACTTTAATCCATTAGTAGAAATAAACCCCAAAAGAAAACTCCATGATGGCTGCACTTGGTAAAATTTTATCAAACCTTTAAGAAGTTACTGCAATCACACACTATATCTTCTGAAAAAAGGAAACTTTCCCAACTCATCTTATGAGACTAGCATAATTTTTATAACATATCCATGGGTTTGACATTGAAAAGACAATAAGGGACTTTTACTAACAACTATAGGAAATAAACTAGACAACTAGATGAAGTGAATCAATTCCTCAAAAGTCACAAACTACTGAAAATCACTCAATTTGAAAATGATAGCTTCAATAGTCCTTTAACTATTAAAGAACCTGGATTTGTAGTTAAAAACCTTCTGAAAGCTGGGCTCGGTGGCTCAGCCTGTAATCCCAGCACTTTGGGAGGCCAAGGTGAGTGGATTGCCTAAGCCCGCAGGTTCGAGATCAGCCTGGGCAACTTGGCAAGATCTCATCTCTACAATAAATACAAAATTAGCCAGGCAAGGTAGCACATGCCTGTAGTCCTGGCTACTTGGAAAGCTGAGGTGGAAGGATTGCCGGAGCCCAGCAGGGCAACACTGGAGTAGCTGTGAGTGTGCCACTACACTCCAGCCTGGGTAACAGAGTGAGACTCCAACTCAAAAGTCCCCCTGCAAAACAAAAAAACCTTCTGAAAAGGAAATTTCCAGGCCATATGGTTTCACTGGAAAACTCTAACTAAACACTTAAAGAAGAATTCACACCAATTGGTGTTACAAGAAGCCTTTTCCAGAAAATAGCAGATAAGGAAACATATCTCAACTAATTCTATGAAGGAAGGATTATTTAATATTAAAACAAGAAAAAGACAGTACAAAATAAAAACTGAAGAACAATATCCCTCCTGAACATAAATATAAAAATGTTTAGGGCCGGGCTCAGTGGCTCAGCCTGTAATTCCGCGCCTTTGGGAGGCTGAGGTGAGTGGATTGCCTGAGCC